GACTCCACGGCACATAACAACAACAACAACAACCTCCTTTCTATATTTTGGTACAAAATATAGTCCTCCTTCCTTTGATAATCTGCAAATCCTGTATTGCTGATTCTAATTTTACCTTAATAACAATGAATAAAAATTAATTATTAAATGACTGAAGAACATCAATACATTCCAATTGTTATTACTCTAGCTTCTCAGAGGACATACTTTTGTTATTGGGACTCTTGTTACATGGCCTAAATGAGACCCAGTTTAGTGGAATACGTACATACAATGAATCACCTCAGCTCCAAGTCTATAGAGTTTTGATGGTTTTACAACTGCATGTGTTCATTTGGTCTCTTACTAGACATCTATTGAAGAGTGTGCTGAATGCTGGAATAAAAGAGTAGGAAAGACATAGTTAGAACCATTCAAAAGTTAGCAACATAATGAATGGATGTTCTAGCTACTGGCTTAACCAAACCCTATGTTCTTTTGTCTGTGGCTGGTAGAATTGTAGGAGGCTTTGGATTCATGAGACTTTGGGTTCTCTTTCTTAATCTTTGCAGTTGTTGTTGCTTACAAAATATATATGTTGTTTGGTGGAAAAATTGGATGGAACTGGTCCAATACCATCCCACTATAAGGAGCTCTGGTAGCGCAGTGGTTATGAACGAGGCTGCGAATCTCAAGGTCAGCAGTTTGAAACTACCAGCTGCTCTGCAGGAGAAAGATGAGGCTTTCTGCTCCCATAAAGATTTACAACCTTGGAAACCCTGTACAGGGTGGCTATGGGTCAGAACTGACTTGACGGCACTTAACAACAACAACAAAATGAATATAATATTAGCTAATAATTACTGAGGACCAGACACCATACTAAAATTTTCAGCACCATCTATCATTCCTCAACAACCTTATGCAAAAGGTACCTTAATCCCTAGTTTACAGATGAGGAAACTGAGGCTTAGAGGCATTCAGTCACTTGTTACTTGCATAAAGTCACATGAGAAGTTACTATAGCAAAGTTTGAATTCCAATCTAGATTTGTTTACTCCAAAGCTCATGGTCTTAATCAGTACACAATAGGTTTATATTCTTAATATTTACTTCTCTGTGCCATGACCTTTTAAATAGATTCTGTAGTTGACTATTAACTAGTAACAGCTAAAAATGTATATTACAATTCATGCACGAAAACAGTGCTTCTACTTATAATGAAAGGACTAACATTATCATCTCAAATAAAGATCCTGAAAGTCATGTCGAATGTGCATTTATTAAACGCTCATTTTTTGCTTACATTCAGATCGAATGTGATTTTGGTTGAGGATTGTCTTTGTTTAATACTAGCAGGGTCCGTTTTTAAATATTTATATGAATATTAAAATAAACATATTGTTAAGTGCTGTTGAGTCATTTCCAACTCATAGAGACCCTGTATAAGGTTTTTTAGGCTGTATATTTCCTGTGGGAGCAGAAAACCTCCTTCCTCCTTGGGCGACTGGCGTGCTCAAACTGCCAACCTTGTGATTCGCAGTCCAGTGCTTACCCTACAGAGCCACCACACTCCTCCAAATAAAAAGTCTCTATTTTTAAAGAGACACACAAAGGTAGATTTCTATAAAGGGTTTTCAGGTAATGAGCAAATGGCGTGACTGGAGAGTCAGTGTTTTGTCCCAGTACAAAGTTCATTGTTACAGGTAAATGTCCTTTAAATATTGCGTCCTCAATTTAAATGCATTTCAATTATGCATAGTAAAATGACTAAGAAGACAGATAAGACAGGTGCTGTAAGGTAGAGTACTATAGTAGCTTGAGATTGCTTGGATTTGGTTCCAGTTTTGTCATGAATCATGGTGGGATTGCTGGGAAGGCTGGTGGTGGGTCAAATTCCTAACAAGGCAGTATACTAACGTAGCCTAGAGGCTATTGACAACAGTTGATTCTGAAAGGCTGGCGATGTTATGTCCCTGTGTTATTTCTGAGGTGAAAGGTTTGTGAACATGTTTACATATTTTATGTATGTGATTCCAAGAATTACCAATAAATATTGCTAAGTGCTGTCAACTAAAATTAAAAGAAAGTCTAACTTATTTGATCACAGAGAGATTAAGTACTTGGTGATTTGGTCACAGGACAATTCATCTCAAACTATCGCAATATTTGGCTTGGGGATCATCCTCAAGAATGTCATACACTGGGCTTGTTTGTTCGTTTTGCTTTGTTTTTCTAATTTCAATCCATGAAGTTTCTTTATTCCTCATCAGCTTTACAAAAATGAACTTTTTCCTGGATGAAGGAGAACATCTTACAAGGATGATATTAGCCTTTAAGATCTACCCAAATGGAAGGTTTAAAAGAATTTATATAAAGCTGATTAAGTGTTGAAAACTAGAAGGGATTATATATTTTATTTCCTTAGTAGTTGAGACCATATGAAAAATTAATTCATAAATTAAAAAGCAACTTTCTGATCTTCTTTCAAACTGACTACATATGCAGTGTGAATTGTAGCCATCAAACATGAATGATGATGGTACAGATATAGTCAGTTACATCTCTGGTAGTGTTTTTGGGAGTGGGGAAAGTGTGCACATTGATTCTGGAATAAAACTTCTGGGTAGACTACATGCTGTGCAGCCGTTCTCTAGCAAGGACATTTTGATTTACTGGATATTGTTTGATTAAAGTTATAAACCTAACATTTGTTTATTTTGGAAAAAGGAAAAAAAAAACTATAAAAAATAAAGAAAATTTGACACTTTATATTAGCATTTTTCTCTGTTAACATTTTGACACATTTCCATCTATGTATATTTTTTGTGTGTGTTATAAAATTGAAGTTGTACTAGATATACAATAATGTATCTGACAAATTTTCATGTTGTTTCATGAACACCTTGTCCAAATGCCTTTAACATTTTTCAGTAAATAAGCAAGTTTTGAACTTCTCCATCCTATTTGATCTGTAAAATGAGGATAATGAAGATTATCTACCTCAAGCCAATGTTGTGAGGATTAAATGATATCAAATATGGGAATTGCCAACCACAATTGACTGGCACTGGTAGATGGTAAAAAAATATTAATTCTTTCTCCAAAATTTGAAGTACCATTCATTTGGAGTTCTTTCTGAACTCAGGAGTCTGGATAAAGTATAAGCAATGAAGATAACAATAAGGATAGCCTGTATGGCTATAGGATTTTTAATAGTTTTGGGTGGTTTTTTTTAATCTTGTTTCATTTGGGTTTTGCATTGGCCCTGGGCTGGTAGTGATGTCCAATTGATTTATGCTAACATCATTGTTTTCAGATCAATAAAAAGAATACCCCAAACTTAAGTTACTTGATTTGTTTAACCTCAGAACTTATTAGCAAAGTGAACCAGAACAGGAACTTCTAGTTATTCAATTTCTACTAGAAGATGAATAACTAGAAGAAACTAAAGTTGTCTATAAAGTTTTTGATACAAGTTGAATCACTGTGGAATTATTACTCAAAGACCTTCGGCAGTGGAACAAAACTGGTTGTCACAGGTAGGTGTCAGAAACATGTAATTTTGTCAGGGACATAGAGGGGCAATAAGAAATTATTTGGAATAATAAGAATGTTTAGAAAAAATGATGGCGGAATGTGATGGGGTATAGATGTAGAAATCTTAGAAGATATATATTTTTTAATTCCCTATATTAAAGGATAGCAATGTTGTGCCAGTATTGTAATAGGATTTAGCTTTGTACCCATATGGGTTTTATGAAGTGCTCATATGTAGCGTATATAATCATATCTTTAAAGTGTTTGGTCTTAGGACAAAGTTAATTAGTACATGTTAGTATTTTCCATTTTTGATGGTCAAATGGTGTTTGAAAAGAGCCTGGGTTTTGGTGTCAAAGTAATTGGAGCTCTGACTTCAGCGCTTACATACTCAGTTTTCTAATCCACAAAATGGGATAGCAGAGCAAGGCAACCAAATGTGAATGTGGGGATAGAGTGCGGGGCACTTTGTCCAGCTCATAGGAGGTGTTGATTCCATTGATTCAGTTACAATGGGAGAACCGTATCCTTTGTGGAGAGTTGTTGGCAGTCAACAGCATTTATACAGCATTTAATTGTACTTTTAACTACTACAGTGTAAAAACTTGCATTTGGAGATATTTTCTCTTAACAGCTGTTTTCTTCATTTGGCAAGAAAGATGAGAGTGACATGTGCTTGCATTCATTTTTCTTACTGCTGTCCTAATTGCTTTAAATTCCAATCCTTTATCTTAATGTATAATGTATTGGTTCTAAAACGTATAGTCAATACATGTAAGCTTCATCTCATAATCATCAGGGAAGAATTATTTAAATTCATACGGATAAAGATCAAGGTATTCAATCACTATGATATAATTAGAAACTTGTCGTATACCTTAAATTTATATTTAAAAATGAAATAGCTGTATTTACTGATTTGATAAAGGAAACAGGACAAGCAGAAAATAGCTAACACTTAGGCTAATAAATAAATACAAATATAATAGCACTTAGACAATATGTAGATTTAGAAAACTAATCTTTCAACAGAAAACGTACTTGATATGTTGTTGTTGTTGTTAATTGCTGTCCAGTCAGTTTCAGCTCATTGTAACCTTGTGTAGGGTTTCTGAGTCTTTAAATGTTTGCGGGAACAGAAAGCTTCATTTTCCTCCTGGGTAACTGATATATGATATATTTATGTAAAATTTATGCTACTGCATATTGATAAAATATTAACAACTCAAATTATTGAACTCAAATGTATTCTTTAATTATACAAATGATCACATTTAAATAGATGGGTTAAGTTTATTGTTTTTCTCACCTGGCTGCCATTCTATGGGTCATGAAGGAGATGCTGACCATAGAAAATACTCTTAATAAGTATACTTTTAAAATAATGTTCTCACAATAATTTTTAATATAGTATTTGATTTTTTTTTTCAAATGCTGTCAAGTTGGTTCCCACTTGAGAACAGCTGGTGGATTTAATTGCTGACCTTGTACCTTTGTCAGTCCAGTGCTGTTCCTACAGCAAACACTAGACCAGAAGTCCAAACACGTAGTATAACAATCCCAAATCAGGGCATTAACTATATAACTGACTATATATATATATACATGTATCTGACTATATAGTTAATGCCTTCCCTAAGTTGGGATTAAATTTTGACCTGAGGAAGTTATGGAAGTTTAAGATTAATTTTCCAACGAAAGCAATGAAACTTTAAAGAATTAAAAAAAAGAAGAACAATAGTAAATGAAAGCTGTGTTATGGTAGAAATATTTTCCAGTATCACTGTTTGATTTTCAATTTTATTAGTATAATGTATCAGATATATTCCTATGAAGAAAAACAATTTCCTGAGATGAAAATTAGATTCTTGAATATGTTGACAAAAGATAAGAATTATGTATATGCACTATAAAATTGAAAAAATAAATCTTGCTTTTTATAACATACTGCCTTTTATTAAGTGAAAGGAAATTTTGTAGAAATATACAGTCTTGTTATTATGACTGGTAAACATTTGCACTGAAAACAAGGTTGTGGTTGTTGTTGTTGTTAGGTGCCCCATCTAGTTGGTATCAACTCATAGTAACCTTATGCACAACAGAATGAAACTTTGCCTGATCCTGGGCCAATCTCACAATTGTTGCCATGCTTGAGCCCATTGATACTGCCACTTAACCAATCCATTTTGCTGGGGGTCTTCCTTTTTTTCTCTGCCCCTCCACCTTACCAAACATGATATACTTCTCCAGTGACTGGTCCCTCCTGATAATATGTCCAAAGTATGAGAGACAAAGTTTGGTCATCTTGGCCTCCAAGGAGCACTCTGACTGCACTTCTTCCAACACAGATCGGTTGGTTCTTTTGGAAGTCCTTGGCACTTTCAGTATTCTCCTCCAACACACCATAACTCAAAAGCATCAATTCTTCTACAGTCTTCCTTATTCACTGTCCATCTTTTGCATCCATATGAGGTTATTGAAAATACCATGGCTTGTGTCAGGTGCACTTTAGTCCTCAAACTGACATCTTTGCTCTTCAACACGTTAGAAAGGTCTTGTGCAGTAGATTTGCCTAATGCAGTACGTTGTTTGATTTCTTGACTGCTGCTTCCATGAGTGTTGATTGTTGATCCAAGAAGAATGAAGTCCTTAACAACGTCAATCTTTTCTCCATTGATAAAGAATGTCGTTTATTGGTCCAGTGGTGAGGATTTTTGTTTTGTTTACATTGAGATGCAATTCATACTGAAGGCTGTGGTCTAACAAGGCAGATGGAATTAAAATAACCACATTTGACCTAGTTGTATTTACAGACTGATTTTTTTTAAAAATCAACATTATCTGTCTATTGTTTTAATATTCACATCAGGAACTTTGCATCTCAGGCAGAAATCCTTAAGAGTTTTTCCCCTTTTCTTCTCAAAAGAGAAATCCACATTTTCTCTTTCTTTTCCTTAGTAAATCGCTTACTAAATTATTAAACATGCACACCACTAGCACACAGAGTAGAGTAATTCGTCATTTGTGTTTCAATTAGAGATCAAGTTGAAAGTGATTCTATCATTTATCATTTCAGTCACTAGATTAACAGCAAATGGATAATCAATAACATTTCAGCTTTATTTCAAATGATATGCCTTTACAAGCATATCATTGTTTGTTGTACAGTTTTGGCATTGTGTCTATAAGATACTCTGAAACTGACTTTCAATGTTACATAGTCATGTACATTTATTTAGCAGGTTGAAATGAAATAGTGGAACTTCCTAACAGTTCAGTAACTAATATGGTGATTGGTACAGACTGTGGAAGAGACACTGAGAGTCCCAATATGGATATGGATACAAGCACTGTCACTAAGATCAGCATTTCAAATCCACCAGCTGCTCCACAGAAGCCTACAGAGAGGGTCACTATGATTTGGAACCAACCTGGCAGCACTTAACAGCAACAAAACAATGATAAAAATGTACCCCTGGTGAATTCTTTACCATGCTTAAGCTTAAAATGAAATTCCAGTTTTTAAGGGGAAGTGTTTAACATAAAACCATTTCTGGGAATCAACTCCCTGTGTGGTGCCGTAGGATTAGCACTAGTCTGCGAACCACAAGGTCAACAGTTCAAACCCACCAGCAGCTCCTAGGAAACCTTATGCAGGGTTGCTATGAGTTGGAACTGAATCGGCAGCACTTAACAATAACAAAAAACAAAATTTCTGGGACTATTCAATATAATCCTTAATTGATTATTGCTTTCTTTCTTCTAAATTCAAGACATCATAAATAATCTGGAAGTGCAATTTTAATACAGTACTATCATAAAAACCAAGTAACTGTCTAGAAATCAAATGAGGTATTTCATGGGGAATATATGTTGCAAAAGAACGCTTCAAACTATTAAAAAGCAAAAATTTCACTTTGAAGACTAAGGTGCATCTGACCCAAGCCATGATATTTTCAACCATCTCATATGCTAATGGAAGCCAGATAATGAATCAGGAAGAATGAAGAAAAAATGATGTGTTTCAATTACGGTGTTTGCAAAGAATAATAAATATACATGGACCGACAGATTGAACAAATGTGTACTGAAAAAAGCCCAACCAGAATGTTCCTTAGAATTGAGGATGCTGAGACTTGGTCTCACGTACTTCGGACATGTTATCAGAAGAGCCCAGTCATTGGAGAAGGACCTCATGTTTGGTAAAGTGGATAGACAATCAGCGAAAAAGAGGAAGACCCCAAGGGATATTGACACAAGATAGAGTGGCTATAGGCTATAACAATGGCTTAAACAGGGATGATTATGAGGACGGTGGAGGATTGAGCAGTGTTTTGTTCTGTTATACATAAGGTTACCATGAGTTGGAACCAACTTGATGGCACTTAACAAGAAGAACATCCATAAACCTAGAGTAATTCCTATATAAAATTGAGGTGTTTATAAAATGAGAAAGCAACTAGAGGATCTCTGTGAATTTCAGTTAGGTGTGGGAGCCACATTTGACACTAAAAGGTCAACTTCATAAATTGTAATTGTAAGTACACATGGAAATAGATTCCTTTATAACATGTAAATGAATATTGTTAAAAACAACAACAGCACCAGTAGCTAAAAGCTCCTTCTTGACCTTTATGTATATAAGAAATCAAATACATATGGTGTACGATAGTGAGGTTGGCCCAGGATCGGGCAGTGTTTCATTCTGCTGTGCATAGGGTCGCTATGAGTTGGTACCGACTCGATGGCACCTCACAACAACAGCAACAACAACAACCGCATTCAGCTAAATGAAGTGTCATGATTCCAGAGTTACTGAATATGAGAACGTGAGTTCTTTAGTCAAAGAGAGCAATAGGCCCAAAGTTCACAGGATAGGAAAGGGAAGCACTTCAGAAAGAACCAAAGATTCTCATCTGTGGGAGACCATGAAAACACGCTCCACCGTGATTGAACGCGATTGCTTTTGAATGTTGGAAGCCTTGATAAGAAGTGATTAAATATAATGTAGAGAAAGAACGAAAGCCAACTTTGAACCTCGTCTCTAATAGCTGTGACTCTTAGTGTATTACTTAACCTGTTGAGCTTTTTACCCCATCTGTAAAATAAAAGTACAAGGCTGTACCTTGAAATGTATTGTAACAATGAAAGGCTTTGGTGAGTTCTGTATGAATGACAACTTCTCTTTCTACTATTATACAATAGATTGTCCCAAACAGCAACATTTGTGTTTCTCTAATAATACTTTTTCATTGATATTTCACTTTTTCCTACAGATAAAAACAGTGAAAATTCTTCCCCCAAGCCCACAATTTTTCTTCCTTCAACTGCTGAAGTAACCCTTCACAATGCTGGGACGTATCTTTGTCTTCTTGAGAAATTCTTCCCTGATGCAATTCAAGTAGATTGGAAAGAAAAGGACAGCAATAAGATTCTTAAATCCCAACAAGGAGAGACAATAAACACTGATGACACGTTCATGAAGTTCAGCTGGCTGACCGTGACTGGAAAGTCGATGGAGAAAGAACATCAATGTTTGGTCAAACATGAGCACATTATGGAAACTGAGAAAGTGATTAGTTTTCCTCCAATACAGGGTCGCTATGGGTCTGAACTGACTCAACGGCACTTAACAACAACAACGACAGGTATGTGTACATAAATATAAACTCCCAGAAAATGTATTCTAAAAGTAACTCCTCAGATTTTGGGGGCAGGTATTAATGCAAACAAACAAATATAGCTCTTTTTTAAATGTGTGACATTTAACAGTAGTATAAATTCCCTACTATTTCTCCGTGCAATGAGAATAATATAGGTTTGAGAATTAAAACAAAACAAAACTTTGACTTAACCTTTCTCAATCATAATTTCATTATCAAAAATGTTAAGGTCATAATGATGTTTTTAAATTAAATTAAATGAGATAACTTATATGAAAGCACCTAGCAATTTTACACACAATAAATGCAAACAAAAAATATTTTTTGGGGATAATTTTGCTTGGTTAAGAATGAAGAGAAAAGCAAGGTTCATTTCTATCATGCTTGTTAAAGTGAAGGGGCAGTGAATAAGAGACAGGCCCTCAACAAGATGGACACAATGCTACAACAGTGGGTTCAAACAAAACAACAATTGTGAGGATGACGGAGCACCAGGCAGTGGTTCCGTCTGTTGTGGTAGGGTTGCTACAAGTTGGAACTGACTTGGTGGCACTAACATACACAACAATAAAGTTTGATTTATAAACAGTGAGTTCTTAGAATACAAAATGGCGTTCATACGAGCGAGCCAGAGCATGACTCAACAAAAGATATAATAACCTTGGCCGTTACTGTTTTATGATGACCTTAGATTTGTATTTTGCATACTACAGTAAGGTAAAATTTCATAATGATTGAGCCTTGGTGGTACAAATGGGTAAGTAGTGACCACTAGTTGATGGTTCAAACTCACCCAGAGCTACCTCAGAAGAAAAATCAGATCCTCTGCTTTCAAAAGGGTACAGCCTTGACAATTGTCCCGAGCAGCTGTATTCTGTGTAGCAGCTGTATTCTGTGTGCACTGAGATGATCTCAGTGGCAACTAACAATAGCAACACATAGAAGCATACTCACAGTCTACATAGTAAGTGTATTTCTTCTCATTGGTAAATGCAGTTCAACAGGCATTTACTGAGCAACTAATATATGGGAGTCCTGGAGGAGATCTATGTAGATCAGTGTTCTGTTAAGTGCCATCCATTCAGTTCCAACTCAGTGATCCTGTATAGGGTTTCCAAGGAGGTGCTGGTAGGTTTGAACTGCCACTCTTGTGGTTCAAACCGACCTGGTAGTCCAGTGCATTATCCTACTGCGCCACACCGGGAATCCAATAATATGTTCTACTTGGCATTAAATGATAAACATAGGGTTTACTGTGTTCCTCATGGCAGTAACACTGTTAACAAGGTTGATGATCTCCTAATATTGTACAAGTCTCTACTGCTGTTTCTTGAAAGTTTCTTTAATAGAAGCTAAAAATATAATATGGAAGTCAAAATCAAGCAACATGATTCAGAGGAGAGATAAAAATATATCTGTATCTAAGCTTGTGACCAACTCTGATTGAGAGAGAGAATTTAGAATATATAACATATGTGAAGATTTCATTCCTAGTAATTGCGACTTTATTGCTTTGACCTCCATCAATCAGTGCATGGTGATCCAGAATTTAACTTGTCTTCTAACAAGTAAAGTTATGTCAGGGAAAGAATGAGATTTTCAGGACACATTAAAGTTCCTTGATGAAGGTACTTTAACATATGAATGTTTTACATTAGCATTTTCATTCCTGAGATTTGACCTAAGGCCTATGTCTTTGTTGTTGTTGTTGTTAAGTGCCTTTGTCAGAGCCGACCCATAGCAACCCTGTACAGGGTTTCCGAGGGTGTAAATCCTTACGGGAGTAGAAAGCCTCATCTTTCTCCTGCCGAGCGGCTGGTAGTTTCGAACCACTGACCTTAAGGTTCGTAGCCCGATTCGTAACCACTACGCTACCAGAGCTCCTTTGTCTTTAGAACACAAAAAAACAAGATTTTGTCAAGTAAATACCAGAATCATTTCCATGTAGCCAAGAGCACATTCAACAACCAAGGGATCAATTAAAATACCCCATGCAACTCTGATTTCTCCTATTCAAAGGTTAGTTACCATCATAAAAACAGTTTAATTTTTTTTGCATTGATTTACATCATTGTGGTTGTTGTTATGTGCCATGGAGTTCTGACTCATAGTGGACCCTGTATAAGGTTTCTGAGGCTGTAAATCTTTACGGGAGCAGAAAGCCTCATCTTTCTCCTGAAGAACAGCTGGTAGTTTCAAACTGCTGACCTTCCGGTTCGCAGCCTCATTTGTAACCACTACGCTATAGATAAATACAATTCTTGCCTCAAGTTTTGCATTTTTTTTCAGAGAACTATAACTGTGACTTAGTCAATCTTCTCTGTAACCAGGAAGAACTGTACTGAGAATCCTGAGTTCCTGTAATTAAGGAAACTTTAAGAGAATGTTTAAGATGTCCAGAAAAGAAGATTTTCTTAAGAGTTCTCAATGGTGGAACTAGGTTGCTTCTTCACAGATTATTTTCTGTTTCTGTGGATTTTTCTGTTTTACAAAATACTCTCCACCGGTTGAATCCTGGTTTTGCCCTCTCACTTGTATGACTTATTTCATCTTTTTTAAAATGGGCTTGTCCATAATATAACTGATTTCAGAGGTTATTGGTGGTTCGACAAGGTTAAGCATATGAGGCATTTAACCTAGTGTCAGGCACAGTAATAACTACTCAATAGGTGTATGCATTCACCATTACTGTTATTTCCACAAACATAATTCCAGAAAATCATTTGCATGAAATGGATATTGGTGTTTATAAGAGAAAAACAAAGTCTTTTCTTGCTTTGGAAAGGTAGGGCTCTTTCCTTTTCTCAGTTGAGAAATCTCATTTGCTGAAACACTATATGAACTGAATATGCTGAATAGCATAGGATCAGACCAATTATTCTTGGGATGTTGTTAAGTGCCATCCGTTATGACTCATAGTGACCCTGTAGAGTGTTTCTGAGAAGCAGATGGCAGTTTTGAACTGCACCATGTGGTTTGGTTCGAAATCCAGCATCACACTAGTAGTCCATCCTTGGGATTTTTGTTGTTAAGTGCCATTGAGTCGCTACTGACTCATAGCAACCCTATGCACAGCACAATGAAACACTGCCCAATCCTGGGCCAACCTCACTACTGTTGCCATGCTTGAGTCCATCGATGCTGCCACTTGTCCAATCCATCTTGTTGGGGGTCTTCCTCTTTTTCTCTGACCCTCCACTTTACCAAACATGATATCCTTCTCCAGTGATGGGTCCCTCCTGACAATATGTCCAAAGTATGAGAGACGAAGTTTGGCCATCTTGGCCTCCAAGGAGCACTCTGGCTGCACTTCTTCCAAAACGGATCTATTGGTTCTTTTGGCAGCCCACGGCACTTTCAGTATTCTCCTCCAACACCATAACTCAAAAGCATCAATTCTTCTATGGTCATCCTTATTCACTGTCCAGCTTTCGCATTCATGTGCGGTTATTGAAAACACCATGGCTTGGGTCAGGCGCACTTTAGTCCTCCAGCTGACATCTTTGCTCTTTAACACTTTAAAAAGGTCTTATGTAGCAGATTTGTCTAATGCAATATGTATATCCTTGGGATAGTGGGTCTTTTATTTTTTAATGACTGTCTCTCTTTTAGAAGACCCTGTAATATATATATATATTGTTGACTCCACACCATGACTCCATCAATAACTTTGTTGTTGTTGTTAAGTGCCGTTGAGTCAGTTCAGTCTTATAGAGACCCTGTATAGGGTTTCCGAGGAGCAGTTGGTGAGCTTGAACCACCAACCTTGCAGTTAAAATGACTTTGCAGTCTGATACATTAGCCCATAGCGCCACACCAGGACTCCATATATATGCTCATTGTTGTTGTTGTTGTTAAGTGCCGTCGAGTCGGTACCGACCCATAGCGACCCTGAACAGCGTTTCCGAGGCTATAAATCTTTAAGGGAGCAGAAAGCCTCATCTTTCTCCCGCCGAGCAGCTGGCAGTTTTGAACTGCTGACCTTGCGGTTCACAGCCTGATTCGTAACCATTACGCTACCAGAGCTCCTTTATATATGCTCATAGAGACTGCTAAATAATGAACATGAACAATTGATTAATACTTGTTCTCATTTCTTCTAGGCTCTAGTACTACTAAATCTGAGAAAACGTGTTTGAAAGATGAAAGTGGTAAGTTTTTGCATGTTTGCCTTTGGTCATACTATAGCATATTTTTCTACTTGATCAAAGTAGCATTTGCACTTCCTTGGATTCTTGTTGTTGTTGTTGTTAAGTGTCTTCAAGCTGGTTCCAATTCATAACGGCCCTGTATAAGGTTTCCGAGGAGCAGCTGGTGGGTTTGAACTATTGACCTTGTGGTTAGCAGTCCAGTGCTGATCCTACAGCGCCTCACCAGGAGTCTCTGGCTTAAGGTAGAGAAATCAGCGTGGCCGCATGCTGCAGAATAGCCTAAGCAATAGTTGACATTCTTCCGATTTCCGATAGCCATCTGTACACAGTGAACTGCTGGGTTTCCTGTGAAATGGACTGTAAATTAGCATATGAGGTTGTCTGCAAACTAAGGTATGCTCTGAACTATTTCAGCAAATGAATTGCATTCATTCATGTGGCTTTTGTTTTAAGGTGTGGGGAAACATGATATCAACTTACTTCTAGGTCTTGCTTTTCACATTTGATCCTTGCTAATGTAGTCCTGGTGTGGCGCTGTGGCTTAATGCACTGGATTACAAAGTCAGTTTGAACCACAAGGTCGGTGGTTCAAGCACACCAGCTACTCCTCAGAAACCCTATACAGGGTCAGTCACTATAAGTCGGAACTGACTCTAATGCACTTAACAACAACAACAACAACAAACAAATAGCTAATGAGGAGTCCTGGTGTGGCGTACTGGACTGCTAATCATAAGGTCGGTGGTTCAAGCCCACCATCCGCTCCTCAGAAACCCTACACAGGGTCACTATGAGTTGGAACCAATTCTATGGCACTTTAGTAGCAATAACAACAACATAAACAGTAGCTAATAAATGAACTGTCACTGAGAGCTTCAGGTATAGAAGGCATTATGGTGTGTTCTGCATGTAGTTTCTTGTTTAATATTCACCATGTCTCTATGAGGTGGTATAGTATTTTTTAATCTGTTTTATTGATGAGGGCAATGAGCTATACTTTTCTCCACATCACAATATATAGACCTTGGGCTTAAACCCAAGCCATCTGATATAATTAAGTCATTTCTTTATTCTACCTTTAAAACAGTCATAGAAAAAGAAATCCTAAGATCAAGACTCTGAAACATACTTGAGGCAGAGTAGGGGACCAGTGCATAGTCTTCGGAGTACCGCAGACTGGACTTCAATCCCAGTCCTTTTATAAGTGCTTATTGTATGAATATGGATTAATTTCTCTCTCTCTTTTTTTTTTTTTTCTGAGCATATTGCCTTTTCTACAAACTGGGAATGGAGTCCTGGTGTACTGTAGGATAAGCACTGGACTGTTAACCACGGTGGTAACCCTATATAGGATAACCGTGAGTCAGAAATGCCTCAACAGCACTTAACAACAACAGGAACTGAGAATAATTAACCTAACTCATGGTCATTGAAAGGAGCCCTGGTAGCATAGTGGATTATGAGCTGGACTGTTAAATGAAAAGTCAGCAGTTCGAATCTACCAGTCGCTTCGCAGGCAAAAGATGAGGCTATTTGCTCCTGTTAAGATTTATAGCCTCAGAAACCCTATTTAAGGTCCTCAGGAACCCTGTACAGGCTTGCTATGAGTCGGAACCCACTTGATGGCACTAACATGCATGAGTCAGAACTGACTTGGTGGCACACAACCACCACAGTCATCTAAGAGAAACAGGAGCATGTGGGGAGTGTCTAGCATAAGATAGCTCATTTAACAGGTACAGAACAAGTACTTGTTTTCAGCCATTTCTCCCTGTACCTGATGCTAGGAGCCTTGGTTCTAGAGCTGCTAGTATTTCCTGCATTTCCAATAATTAGCAGGCCCAGATCTCACCTCCCCCATGAGACAAGGAGAGACAGTAACACCTTACCTGGCCGAGGCCCAGAGGTTAGGAACATATAACTTCTTGAGATGCCTTTGTAACCACGTGTTGTTGATTCTGGAATTCTGACTCTGAAGACTGAACATGGGATATGAAAGTTTCCATAGGAAGCCACTCAGCCTTATGGTTCATTGAGTACCAGCTGGGTCCACCACCATTTTATTTCTTGCAATATATATATATTTCTTGCAAAACTTCAAAGGCCATTAAGTGAACTTTTCTTATTATATTTAGGAAAGACATGCAAGGCATTTAGAAAAGACAGATTATATAAACTGTGACCTCCTAACGTGTGGAGAATTTGGATTAGCCATTATCTTCCATTTTCTAGACTGCCCTTATCACTAACATTTCCAAGCTCCCCTAAATGTCCATGTGCTGTACCCTTCACAGGGATCGCACTGCATGCATAATGGCTAATGGCTCAGATGCTCCTACAGCAACAATTCACCTTTCCATTTATACTTAACACCTTTGATATCTGGAGTTTTTATTCCATGTGGAAATGCAGAGTAGCTAAAAACTTGTTTCCTAAAGGCATGTTGCTGAGGTTGAAATGCGGGCGCTAGGAGCTCTGGTAGCTTAATGGTTACAAATCAGGTTGCGAACCTCAGGGTCAGCAGTTTGAAACTACCAGCTGTTCCACGGGAGAAAGATGAGGTGTTCTGCTCCTGTAGTGATTTACAGCCTCTGAAACCCTGTACAGGGTCACTATGAGTCAGAACTGACTCCACGGCACATAACATAAGTACTTGCTAGATGCCTAACATCAGACCAATGCCTTGCCTCCCTCTCCTAAATTTCTTTATTTATAAAATGGGAATAAAAATAATATTATCTTGATAGATTGTTGTAAAGAGGAATTAAAATGAAAGTTTTACATATAAAGCTCTCAAAACTGTGCCTGGCATTTGCTTTGTTGCTGTTGTTAAGTGCCGTCGAGTCGATGCCAACCCATAGCCACCCTGTACAGGGTTTCCAAGGCTGTAAATCTTTACGGGAGCAGAACGCCTCATCTTTCTCCCACGGAGCAGCTGGTAGTTTCGAACTGTTGACCTTAAGGTTCACAGCCCAATTTGTAACCAGTGCTCAACAAACATAATCTATTATTATAACTAAGAGACGTGGTGAAGACAAATAAATGCTATAAACTAGTTATGATTAGAAATACATTTTCCCCTTCGACTCACTCATTTAAAATGCAACCCTAGTCTTTTTTATCTGGGTGTGTTCCAACTGGATGTTAGCCGTTTGTAGATTAAGTAGAACTGCAAGCTGAATGTAAGTGGTTGTTGGTGATGGCGGTTGTTGGTGATGGTAGATAGTTGGGTTTTTGTGGGTGTGTCATGTCACTTTAATATAGATAATCAGAAATAGATATCTGTGACCTCCCATACCCCATTAGTAAGTCCTATCCTTTCTCAAAAGTACAGATGAACTAATCAAACCCTTTCTCTTAGATACCCTGAGACTGCAGCTCACCACCACCTCTGCGTTTTACACCTACCTCCTCCTCCTTCTCAAGAGTGCAATCTACTTGGTCATTGTGGCGTTCTATCTGTTTAGAAGAACTGCAGTCTGTGGCCACGGAAAGAGCTCCTAACAGATGGTGGCACAATGGGGCCATCTTTTCTTCGTCTTTTATTGCCCCTAAAACTTTCTGCTGAGGATCTAGCTGGACTTTCTTTCTGGGGTTTGTTTATTTCAGTTCCGCTGTGGGTTTTAACTTTTTAAAATATTACTAGTTGTCATTGCATTGGTTCCAACTCAAAGTGCCCCCATGTGTGTCAGAGTAGTACTTTGTTCCATCGAGTTTTAATGGTTGACTTTTCAGAAAAAAATCACCAGGCCTTTCTTCTGAGGCTTCTCTAGGTGGACTCGAATCTCCACCCTTTGTGACTAGCGGCGCAGCCTGAACATTTGTGTCTCCCAGACACTTCTGCCATGCCTCTGAGTGCATTGTTTCACCAGTTCTGCCGTAAAACCTTCCATTTTATACTCCCTGAAGCCATCGTCTGTGCTACTTGAATTCTGTACTCTTTCTGGTTTTCTGTAGAGGAACAATAAAATTTTTAAATATTAAAACTCTGTTTTTGTCTATGTGTACTTTAATTTGAGACAATCTAGCTGAAGTTCAAGGCAAGAAATAGCATGGTAGTTGAGCTATGAATTCAGTGTTGATTGTAATGATGTTCCAGTTCCAATTCCTAATTCTTTCTCTGAGATAGTGTGAAAGACTCTTATCTTGGGGCATGGCCAAATGAAGGAACTTGTCTTTCAAAGATCACTAGGTTCAGAGTCAATTGGTTTGGTACATTACAGCAACAATAATGCATCAATGAACAGGCTTTGCTCTGTGCTCTGCTCTAAGCAAGTGTTTCAGAACCATTACTTTGCCCACCTTCACAATAATCCCATGAGGGCAGTACTGATGTGAGAGAGGCAATGTGGTGGAGGCCTTAAGTACACACTTTCTGGGTTCAGAGTGCCTGGATTTGAATCCCAGATCTGATATCTATGTGACCTCAGACAAATCATTTGGACTGGGTATGCCACAATTTCCTCAGCTGTAAACTTTACAATGACCTGTCTCTTAGAGTAGTTATTTTGTGGAATAGATGATTGTTTGGTACATGTAAGTCCTCGACCGCATTAGCATCCTCTGGCATCTTCTGTTGCTAACTCTACTCTATAAATAGTGAATACTACAAAAATAAGTACTGAAAATTAGCTCTAATGTTATTTCTTGATAAAGAGGTTGGATATGGAAGGAATTAATGATTCACTGAGCTCTAATGCTTGTTGTTGTTGTTAAGTGATGTTGACTTGGTTCTGGCCCATAGCGATTATGTATATAGTAAGAGCTGAGTGAAGACAACTCTGTCTTTACCTGTCCATTGTTTTCTCTTGCTCTGAGGTTATTTTTACAAGAGGCTTTACAGGCCAATCTTTACAAGAGGCTTTACGGGCCAACATAAAACAACATGTTGTTTTATGCTGGGAAATCGTTATATGGACTGGCTTTCTGTCTGCCATGGGAATAATGTGATTGACGTCCATGGAACTCAGATAGATAAAATAAATACTAGAATAACCAGCTCCATCCACAGCTATGTGTTTTGGTACAAGGGTTATGCTTGCTTCATAAATTATATTCAGAAGTTTTCCATCCTTTTCTATGTTCTGGAATAATTTGAGCAAAATTGGTGTTAGCTCTTATCTGAATCATTGGTAGAACTCACCAGTAAAGCCATCTGGGCCTAGACTTTTTTTGTTGTTGAAAAATTTTAAATCACCTGATTAATTTCTTCTTTTGTTTTAGGTCTGTTGAAGTTTTCTACTTCACTTTGTGTTAGTTTAGGTAGGTTGTGTTTTTCTAACAATGTATTTACTTTTAGATTTTAAAATTTATTGGTGTATAATTCATAGTATTGTTATTATCTGTTTTATATTCATTGGTTCTGTTGTCTATCATGTCATTTCTTATGTGTTATTTGCATATTCTTTTTTTTTTTTTTTTTAGTTTTGCCAATGGTTTGTCCATCTTATTAATCCTTTCAAACAATCAACTTCTTGCCGAGTCTGTAATTTTTCTGTTTTCTAATTCATTTATTTCTGCTCTAATTCTTATTACTTCTTTTCTTCTGGGTACTGGTAATTTTGATACACACTGCCAACTTGTGCCCAACGGAGATCCCCACTGGACACTTTTACCACATGTGTAGTTGTGCTGTCAAATGTCAGAATTTTGCTAACCTGGCAGGTAAAAAATCGCATCTCACTGCAGTTATAATTTGATTTTTTTCTGACTTTGAATGAGGACAAGCATGTTTTCATATGCTTGAAGTCCACTGGTATTTCCTTTTCTGTGAAATATTTGCTTGTGCCCTTAGAGCATCTTTTCACTGGATCACAGTACTAACAAGTATAACATTCATGTTTGTGTGTGTGTATCCTTACAGGCAGAGATAAAAAGTAAAAAGTTCAGTGGGTAGTTCCACTACGTTTAAGCCAATTCCGACTCATAGTGACTCTGTATAATGTTTACAGGAAAAAACAGCCCATCTTTCTCCTATGGAGCCGCTGGTGGGTTTGAGCTAAACTTGCGGTTAGCAGTTGAGTGCTTATCCCATTGTTGTTGTTGTTATGTGCCGTGGAGTCGGAACCGACTCATAGCGACCCTGTACAGGGTTTCCGAGGGTGTAAATCTTTACGAGAGTAGAAAG